CGTCATTACCATGACCAGATTTAGGAGAATATCTCATCGGAGGAAGAACGGTGTTAGAAGATGCGATTCTTCCAAAAGCAAAGAAGCTGTTAAAACAGGAAAGAACGGAAATAAAGGTGTCATTAGTCAAAAGGGAGAAGAGGGAGTTGGAGAGAAAAGTGGTTGAGAGGCCGAACGATTCCACTGCCAGGTCTTAGAAGCCACTGACTTTCAGCAAAGCTCTTCCAAACAGTCTGAGACCTAGAGCAGCCATGGAGATTTGCGGACACTGGACCGTCGGAGATCTACCCCTGAAAATGAGATGCCAGGAACAGGAAGTAGCTGAAATCACACATGGGTGAGGTACCTTTGTGTGGCTCTGAAGAACACGCTGCAGGGAACACAAGGAGAAGCTTGCTTTCCTCAGTTAACCTTTTCTGGAAGCACCGCCACAGACGCCCAAGGCCTGTTCCACCTGGATCCTAGGCACTCCCCACCCACACAGGTCAAGGACGGTAGCCGTCCAGCACCGTGACGTCGGTGGGGGAGTGGTTTGCCTCGTGAACTATGGACCATGTGACCATTAAGGCACAGGGAGAAGGAGGAGGGAAGGAGGTGCATGGCAGAGCCCCCTCTGCTGGCCCGCTGACCCCCCATGTCGCACGAGGTTCTCGGCTCACAGTCTCCTGAGCTGCATTTTACATGATGATCACCGCACACTTAAGGATACAGAAGCACAGAGTTTCAGATCTCAAATAGTATAATGGCTTAGAAAGGTGAAATTCAAGTCCAGCAAAAATAAAACACCGGGAAGCCGGTACGTGATAAGGGTGGGGGAGTCAAGTCAAAAGAGGAATGAAGAAGGGGAAAATGGAGTCAGGAATCAGATGTACACGTTATGAAATGAAGAAGCGGCGAGGTAAAGGCTGGGTAGGGGCGGCACGGCTGAGAACATTGAAAGGGGCGACATTAATCAAGATATATTGTATTTATAAGCTGCTTTGTTCAGTGGAACCTCCTTTGTATGAGAAATAACAAACCCTTGGAAAATACTTTTAGTGATATATATATATATATATATATATATATATATATATATATATAGGAAAGTTCCAAAAAAAAAAGAAGAAGAAAGAAACTGAATCAAGATAACACAGTTAATTGTTCAAGATGGCCGAGCATCTAACTCATGATATTTTTCAATGTGTCATGTTCCTTTCATCCAAGTGAAAGAAAAACATACCTTATTGCCCCGTGAAAAAGAATACACAATTAATTGTTGAGGTACGGGCCGCAGGGATCTGTCGGCTTGCTCTGAGGGTTCTTACTAAGGGCTCAGAAAGAAGAAAAGTTCAAAGTGGCCTTCAGCGATGATCATTTGCTCTGAGCCACAGAGAAGGGACGAGCCCGGTCATACCTGACCTTCAGCAGCTATTTACACCCTGCTGGTGGAAAGGTTATGTCAGAGCCCTGGGCGTGAGGCCTGCTCCTTTGGCTCTCGGGTCTCACTGCCAGCGGGGCTCAGAGAGCCCCCCTCGTTTGCGGGGGGGGGGGGTCAGGGTGTCTGAAACAGGAGGCCTTCCCAAAAATCGTGGAGTCTTCCTAATTGCTTGGATCGGTTTTTGCCTCTCCTGGTGTATCTCAAATGCCAGTTAGAAGAGGGTGGACCTCTCACAAAGTTTAAAGTGTTTTACTCAGCCAAGTTGTGACTCTTGGCCAAAGGAGAGAGCCAGCAGCAGCAGGGGAGAGAGAAGGGAAGTGGTTGTCAGATAAGTCAGGTAATTTAATTCCCCTGAAAGTGGAGACGCGGAGGTGAGCAAGAGAAGGGCTGGCAAATCCGAGTGTGACGGTATGTTCTGGGAGGACGCATTTCCCTCTAAGTTCCCCTTTAGATGTGCAAGTTTTTGTGTGAACTATTTTGGATAGACTTCTCTATGCATATTGTAAGGTCTTTTGTTTTGAAGACATTAACAATAATTTATAATTCAGTCTTAACTAAGTCCTATGATTGTGGCAGTAATTAAAAGAAGGATTAAGCGCAGCGTTCTCTGTGATAAAATGAGCATTGGATCAACTCTGCTCTCTAACTGCCCACCTCATTCTCTTGCCCTCTGGCTTTTCAGTTTGTCTGAACTCAAGTGTCTGCTTTAGACCAAGAAATGAGAGTGTCGTATGACTTAAAATAAGATGTTCCAAGCAAGAGAATACTCTCGGAAGGACACCTACGCATTACCATGTTGACATTTGTTTTCAATGCAGTGCCTGCTTGCTTCTTGCTTTTTGGCAGTATTTTATAGTTGCTTCTCTGACACTTGTATAACTATAATTATATTCCTGATAATGACACACATCAGCGAGATGCAGATATATTGGAGTTGTAGAAAGCAATGGATTCTTACTGTTTGTAATGCTGATTCCTCTGACTATTTCTTGCCTCTCGGAGAAAAAAAACAAACAAACAAACCTTCCTTCTCTTGTCGCTCCTCTGTCTTTTATTCTTACTGTATGGTTGTGGACAGAGAGTTTTGACTTGGCGTGAGACTCCACAGTAGTTGTGATACTGACTGTGATGATTGGTGGTGTCAGTGACTTTCATTTGTTTTTTTTTCTGATTTCCTTCGTAAGCAGTGAGGCCACCTGTAAGCTAGTCCTTCTTTGCAATGCAGAGTTCTAGCTCCCACCTTCCTTTGCAAGTGTGTGGTTTTAATGTAATTAGGTCCCAGAGTGGCCACGGCGGTGCTCGGCTGCCGCTTGCTGCCTGGCAGCATGTGGACCTACACTGGGCAGAGACTGGTGCATTATGTTCAGTGCTGTGTGCCCGGACACACACCGAGGGGGTGAGCACCAGACACCTAATAAAATCACTCCATTAAGTAAATGAATAATAAGTAAAGCTATGGTTTGCCACTTAGATTTCTCAGCTGGATCTTTTGCAATTTTCCCAGAGTTGATATAGTAATGAATCTATAATTGATACATGAACAAACTCTATAGACCTCTGGCTATTTAACAACTTCTTTCTCTAAATACACCTAGTGTAATTACTGCTGTATATGAGGTGACTACTTGCTTATCTCAAGTTGTACCCTTTGTCATTTCCAAGACTCTGTATTTATTTCCTTTCTTTATTGAGAGGACGTGATTACATATTGTGAGATGGTGACACTTAGCTAAAGTCACAAACACATTTTAACCTTCACAAGGAGAATTGTCATTATCATGGTCTATAAAGCTTGTGAACTCTACAAACTTTGACAATGCAACTCTTTCTTCCAAATGAGGTGATGTGCACATTTCTTTCCTTTTGCTTTCTTAAGCTGTTCCGTCTTTCCCTCCCATTCCCTCCCTCCCATGGCTGCCCTTGAGATGCTTAGTTCACTTTCATCCATCTCCAGTGCAGCTGATGGTCCTCTGCTGTATTGTTTCACCGTTTCTCTCTTTTTCTATGCCGTTGCTTAAGAATCTCAATTTGTACCTTTAGTCATTTCCAAGAATCTGTATTTAAATTTTTTTCTTAAAAAAATGTATGCAGAAACCCAACAAAGACACTGTGCAGACTCTGAACTCAGCTAGCTATGAGTCTTCAGTCAGCCAGCTAATTTTAAGTCTAAAGGCAAATAATCCTTTAATTCTTTCTTTCTTTCTTTTCTTTCTTCCTCCCTTCCTTCCTTCCTCCTTCTTTCCTTTCTTTCTTTCTTTCTTTCTTTCTTTCTTTCTTTCTTTCTTTCTTTCTTTCTTTCTTTCTTTCTTTCTTTCTCTTCTTCCTTCCTTCTTCCCATCCTTCCTTCCATCCTTTCTTCTTTCCTTTCTTCCTCTTGTGCCAGTCCTGGGGCTTGAAGTCAGGGCCTCAGGCTCTTGCTTGGCTTTTTTTTGTGCTCAGGATTAGTGTTCTACCATTTGAGGCACACCTCTACTTCTGTCTTTTTGCTGGTTAATTAGAGATAGAAGTCCCAATGATTTTTCTGCCTAGGCTGGCTTTGAACTAAGATCATCAGATCTCAGCCTCCTGAGAAGCTAGGATTACAGACATGAGCCATTGGTGCTCTGTCTCTGACTCAGTTTCCTTAAATGCACTAGGATTATATGTTTCTACCCACTGGCCCATGAGGGATAACATATCAGTGATCTGAAGGTAAGCCACACTGGGCTCCTCTGGCTCCACATTGGCCCGTTTACAATGCAAATACCATCTGAAGCTCTCTAGGAAGTCACTGATGGAGATCCCAAAACGCAAGAAGGCAGATTGGAGTTGGAAGTGGGGTTGGAGATACAACTGTGTACAGTGCAGTTGTGTCTACATCTGGCCAGACTGAAGGTTAGAGCTTCATGAGCAACATGTGGCAACAGTTTGGACAACTGACCCTGATCAGTTCCTAAGTTAAAATCATACACATTGAGTATAAAAGTTAAGTGATACACACACACACACACACACACACACACACACACACTTGCACAAGCAATGTGTCCCTACATGTATATGTGAAATTCACAGTTGCTATTGTGAAGCAACAGAAAAGAACTGTCTCTATACAACAGGATTCTCTGTTTCTTCAGACGGAGGAGAGTGGCCGGTCCTGTGTCGGGGGTGGAGAACCAGTCAATATTAGCAAGTCAGGAAAGAGACCTCTACTTGCACGCATCATTTGTAGACGCTCTGGATGTGTAGAAACGCTTGGAGAGCCCTTCTCGTGCAGTATTTGTACTGCAGGGTGCAGCCTGAAGTGTTTCCATTCAAAAATGATCATTGACTTCACAAAAATGCATTGAGGAGAATCAGATGAATCGTATTTGCTAAAGCTGAAGGCCGGCCTTGCCTACATTTGCAATGATGAGAAGAGCCAAATAACGGGAGCACAGCTCTGTCTCGCCCAGAGTCCGTGTATTTACACGCCGTGCCTGTGGCTTTCAGTCCCCCTCCTTCAGGGTCCCAGAAAGGGTCAAAGAAGAAGAGCAAGTGGAATAAACTCCACTCCCCGTCATTCCTCCTCCGTCATTTTCCTCTCCTTTCTCTCTTTCAGTTCCACCTTTTATCCAACCCTTTGAGTTCCCGAGATTCTCCATCGGCCAGCGGGTCTTCATCCCGTGCGTGGTGGTCTCGGGGGACTTACCCATCACCATCACCTGGCAGAAGGATGGCCGGCCGATCCCCGCCAGCCTCGGGGTGACCATCGACAACATCGACTTCACCAGCTCCCTGAGGATCTCCAACCTCTCCCTGATGCACAACGGGAACTACACGTGCATAGCACGGAACGAGGCGGCCGCGGTGGAGCACCAGAGCCAGCTCATCGTGAGAGGTGAGCCAGGGCAGGGGGCCACCAGCCACGGACAGAGTCGAATGCAGCAGTGGAAAAGGTGGTGTGGCCTGAACTACGGTGGATATTACTAGAGTTCAGAGAAATTCACTCTTCTCTCATTAGGGGAAAAATGTCACTGTACAGCTCACCTTCAAATCCTTCTAAGTTCCAGGGCTACACTTCACTTATCAACACTCTGCTACTTACAATAAATAGACTAGTAGTTCTCACCTGTAATCTTAGCAGCCCAGGAGGCTGAGATCCAACGTCTGGATGGAGACTCTATCTCTAAAATAACCAAAGCGCCAGACTGAAGTCGTGGCCCAAGTAGTAGACAGCCAGCTATGAACAAGCAATCCAAGCAAGTCTTGAGTTTACACCCCAGTACCAGAAAAGAAAATAAAGTAATGATGTAAAATAACTAGCACCCAGGAAATGTGCAATGGAAAGGACAAAGCTGTAGAATTTTGTGTATGAAACAGGGCTTCCACTTAAACCATGGCTGTTAGTCTTGTCTTACTGTAGTTATTTTAGCAGACCTCTTAATACTACTTATCATTTAGATAAATACCTTTTTAGAATCGTTGGCAACACCATGTTACTTTTCTTTCTGAAGTGCTATGATTGGTCCCAAGATCTTTGTTTCTTGCCCCTCACCTCCACTTTTTTTTTGGGGGGGGGTCTGGCTCCTGCCAAGACTTAGCATGACGCCTTGACCTACCTTTGACACACAGAAAAAGAGAGGGAGACACAGAGAGACAGAGAGACAGAGAGAGACAGAGGCAGAGGCAGAGACAGAGAAAGACAGAGAGACAGAGACAGAGAGACAAACAGATGCAGAGCGAGTCTTCCTTAGTTCCTCTCATATTATTGTTCCTCTATTATTTTAGGACACTTTTACTGCATTTTACAATTAAAGTATAATTTAAGCAGAGTGTGGTGGCCTTTGTGGGAAAATTAAATCAGGAGAGTCTAATACAAAACACTGGCTGTGGTCAACATACACATAAATTATCAATATTGATCTTTCAAATCTTTAGTCATGATGAATTCAGAATGAGGCTCACTTTTCACCTGGCTTGCCTGAGCCTGTGGTGAAGCGATTCCCTGGGCTCAGTGTTCATGCACATTGTGAAGGCAGCAGAGCAGAGTGAAGAGTTACATGAATGCCAATTAGTTGCACTTCAAAGTCTGCAGGCAACAGGGACACTGGTGTCATTGTGAAGGAGGGATGGCTTCTTTTCCGATTTCCTTATTAAGTTGTTACTATGTTTAAATAGTTGTACAGTGGAGTTGCTACGTAACAATGCAGTTTATGACTACCGTGTATCTTGATCAACGTTCTCACCTGCCCCTCCCCTCCCCACCCCTGCCCTCACTCCTCTGAATTTTGTAGGATATACATTAAATATGCAGTCTTGTCTGCACCCCTCTGCCCCTCCCTCCCCCCAATTCACCATTCTTCAACCTCTTGCCCCTTGACCCCACCCCAGCCTTTCAAATTCCCACGTTCTTGTGCTTGATTTCTTTATTTTGCTGAACTTTACTTTTGGCTTTCTACAGAATTACACTATTTGAGATCTCCTTTGAATCTATCATATTTCAGTTAATACATTTATATACATTTTAATACTTCTTTTAAAGTTATATTTAGTTATACAAAGGAGCTGCATTTCACAAAGCCCTTTATGAATACAGTGTGTCTTGATCAATGTCATCCTTCAGCATTCCCGTCCCTCCCTCCCTTCCAACCTACCCTTTCTCTCGTTCTTCTTGAATCTACCATATTTCAGACAATGCATCTGTACACTTGCATACCACCCGACGTATTTACTTATAAGTTTATAGGCTAAACCTAGCTCCCACATATGAGAGAAAACAAGCAGACTTGGTCTCTCTGGGTCTGACTTACTTCACTTAAATATAATTCTAGGTCTGTCCATCTCTCCACAAATGGTACAACATCATTCTTTCTGGTGGATGAGTAAAGTTCCGGGATGGGTGTGATTTCTGTTATCTCCAGGGTCATTGGTAAGCCCGGTCTGCCCAGGACTTCTCCTTCCTCCCTCCTGTGTAAGAAACACACTTACTACCCCTCACCTTCAAGTCATGGGAAGAGACCAACTACATATTTCTGGGGGAAAAAAACAAACAACAAGAAACCAATACTCTTGGAGTGAATAAGCAAAAGAGTAGATTGTAAGTTAAATATAAACTGAAGACATATATGACACATTTCTCTCTCTTGTTTTGGAGTTTGATAGTTGAGTTTTCTTTCTACCTATTATAAGATAAATAAAATGGGGCACCACACAGACTGTCTTTCCCAGGGTTTTCTTACACACAGAATGAACTCTTAGTGTGGCTGGTGAAGGGCCAGCAGTACCTCAGCCTGTCTTCAGGGTCATCTGCTCTCAAGGATCCAGGTCAGGGAACACAGATGATACGTTCAAATGCGCACAGGCATTCTTTGTATCGCATGCCCTTGGTTGAAGGCAGCTGGACATTTGTTTCTGGGCCAAACATGGGTCTTGAAATTGATCTTAGCTATGTGTGGTAGTGTAGCTCATCAGTCTGATGGACAGTTCCAAGTGGTTAAACTAGCTTCAGTGAAATGTGCAGTAAGTCACAGATCCTGGTAACAGAGCCCCGAGGAAGAAAATGTGATTTTCAAGGTGGTCAGTGTGACTGGAGATGTCAGAGGATGCCAGGTGCAGGGAGGGGGGGGGAGGTGGTGGTGGTGCGGGGGGGGGGGGGCGGGGAGGTGGTGGTGCCGGGGGGGGGGGGGGAGGTGGTGGTGGTGCTGGGGGGGGGGAAGGGGAGGTGGTGGTGGTGCGGGGGGGGGGGGGGGCGGGGAGGTGGTGGTGGTGCCGGGGGGGGGGGGAGGGGGGAGGGGGGGTGGGGAGGTGGTGGTGGTGCTGGGGGGGGGGAAGGGAAGGTGGTGGTGGTGCGGGGGGGGGGGCGGGGAGGTGGTGGTGGTGCCGGGAGGGGGGGGGGGCGGGGAGGTGGTGGTGGTGCCGGGAGGGGGGGGGTGGGGAGGTGGTGGTGGTGCGGGGGGGGGGGGGGCGGGGAGATGGTGGTGGTGTGGGGGGGGGGGGCGGGGAGGTGGTGGTGGTGCCGGGAGGGGGGGCAGGGAGGTGGGGGGGGCGGGGAGGTGGGGGGGGTGGAGGCAGCGGTTCTCATCTGGATGGAACTGGGGCCTCTGGGAGATTTAGGAGAGCACAGGTGTGTGCTTTCTGGCCTGAAGGCAAACCAACTGTAAGATTCTCTTTGTAAGTAGATATGTCTCCCATGTTGTTGTGAGTCCCCCCACCCCCCGCACCTCTCAAATATTGGCACACATTTGAACCATATTTGGGGCTGCAATGTGCTCTAATGTCTGGTGCACAGCCCGTAGTGATGAAAAATAACCATCTTGAGAGTCGGGACCCAAGGGCCTGTCATTCAGAGGATTCCTCAGCTGATGTTAGTAGAGAAATAGTGTTCTGGGTGATTTGTATATGCAGTCCTTGCAGAAGCAAAATTCTGTGTACAGATACACACACACACACACGAGATGGTTGGTGACTAACCAGTGTGGTGACAGAGGCCGATTCATCCTTTAAATTGCCACACACACTTTGTAAGAAGGATGGAATGAGCCAGAAGGTAAGGGGAGTGGCTCCAAGGCCCTGTCAAGGCTCAGACAAAGGAGAATGGCTTGAGTGAGAAGCATTGAATTTGCCACAAATTAAACATGTTTTCAGAGTACGCACGTGCAACGAAGGAGAGAAAATGGAATGTGCCATGGAGACTCATGTCCCCTACCCCATAAGGAGGTGAACAAAGACCAAAAGCAGAGGTGAAGCAGGAAGGGCAGTTCTGACAAGAACATACAGAGAGGCAAGAACATACAGGCCCAAGATACTCCAACATGGGAATTCAGGCAGAGAGGAGGAGCAGTGGGAGACAGAGGGAAGGCAACCAAACGTCTCTAATTCTGTGGGAAGTGCAGAAAAGGGAAACCCAAGAGCTGGCCATTGGTTTAGGAAGTTACGTACCTGTGTGGCACAGGTATGAGGAGTTCTGAGGAAAGAGACTCAAGACAAAGGCGGGGGGAGGGGGAATGGTGCAGAAGCAAAGAATACAACAGTTTTTATACTTTCAGGAAATAGAGAGTTGGGGAGGATCGGGACAAGAGAAGCCACCATCTCTAAGACTTGGTATTTAACAGTGTGCATGGATAGCACACGGGAACAGGCCATAGAGTAGAAAGTCCTGTGACTGGCATCAAAGGCGAGATTGTGACAGAATCTAGCCCCATAGCAAGTGGATTGTGCCGGAATCTTTGAATCGGTATAGTGTGTCCTAGGTACCATAATGGCGGCCATAGTGTGGCTAGAGAAGTTGGAGCCATGGGAATTAGTGGAGGTTATAGGGAGCATATTTGGGGTGAGTGCAAAAACAAACGTAAAATATAGCTGATGAGAATGTGACAGAGTGACAGCTGTTGAATTTTCCCTCCCGTATAAACAACTACAAGGTTGGACCAAAAAATGATATAAAGAGCTATGTCAGGAAGTAGAATGGGCAGCACAGGGCTATGGTTCTTGAAGGAAGGGAAATGCACGGGATGGGCCCCAAATTCACCCCAGATTTCCAGTTGGCACATTTTGCAAATTATATCAGAGGGATGCAGCTCCCAGACTGATAGCAGTGTCTTGCTGAATGGGGAAAACAGAGATCGAAAAGCTACCTGAAAGACTGGTTAGTGAAGTGCAGAGTACTGGAGATCAGTACTCCCCCTCCTCCTCCTCTTCCTCCTCTTCCTCCTTCTCTTCCCTTTCCTCCTCCTCCTTCTTCTTCCATCTTTCTTCTTTCTTCCTCTTGGCCAAGGGCCATTTATCTGTTTATAACATCATTGTGGACCATACAAAATTATCCATGCAAGCAGATAGCTCCCAGTTCAGAAAAAAGAAAAAGCTCTCCAAAAATCTATATAAGCTTCCTTTCCAATATTTATCTGAACACAACACTTCACAGCTGAGGGGAGATTCTGTGCAGGCAGGGAAGGATTCACGTTGCTTAGAAGTAAATGGAGGACATTGGGAGCATCCACCTGAGATCTCAGGAAGGCTACCCATCAGGATGGGTTGCACTATCCCAGGAACCAAGGGTACTCCAAGCCAGTCCACAGACTCAGAAATACTCTTCACAGAGTCCCCCAGTAAATTAGCTATTAACAAGAACAATATGCAAGGGCTAAACATCTGAAATAAGAATTTTATAACCAGCAAAACATATTTATTCATCTAGTCTTCACAATGAAGACAAAATAGAGATATTTTCAGATAAGTATTCAGTACAACTGATTAACAAGCTTTTACTACAACATATATTAAAGAATTTTTGAAAGAAAACATTTACAGATGCAAACTTTGATCTATACAAGGAATAAAGATCTGTAGATGTGCCACGTTTATTGCTGAGTGCAAAAGACATTTTAACAATTTATGTCATTTAAAGATACTTAGATGTTTAAAGGATAGTGATCCTGTATCATGGGATTTATAACATGGAAAAATAAAATATGCAACAGTAGCATAAAGGATAGGAAGATGAAATGCAAGTTTACTATTGTAAGACGGTGCTTAAATTATACATGAAGTATGATGATGTTATTTGAGTGTAGACATTGATAGCTAAATATGTACATTTTAACCTCCAGAGTAATCACCAAAAAAATCAAAGACAGGGCTATTATTCTAACAGAAGACATAAAACAGAACAATATAGTATTTTCAACTAAGCAAAAAAGATATGAAAACAGAGAAAATGTAATAAAAAGAATCTTGAAAAAATTTAAACATGGTTAGATAGTAAAGTCAAATATAGCCATAGATATATATGAATTGTACATGAATTCAATATACAAACAAAACATATTTTAGGATGAAAAGACAAAGAGACAAGTACATACTCTTTTTTATTTTTATTCATCATTTTTATTATTTTTTATTATCTGTAAGTAGTTATACAAATGGCTTTCTATTCAACATTCAGGTCTACTGTAAATATAAAGACACAGATAGGTTAGAAATGAAATGATATAAATTATCCATCATAAAATCTTGATGATCTGTGTCAATATGAGAGAAGATAGACTTCAGAACAGGAAACATTAGCAGATTAGATAAGCAAGTGTTATCATGATGAACAGGTCAATTCACCAAGGTGACATTAAAAGCTGATTCAGGATGTACACCCAATGACAGGCCTTCTAAATCTGAAGCAAGAAGCCAGCAGAGCAAAAGGAAAAAGACAACAAGCCAATGACACAAAGACAGTTCTACACTCCTTCACCAGTAACAGAACAAGCTGAAAATCAGTGTGAATGCAGACCTAGCAGTAGGCTTAGGCAACACAACCTAATGATGTTTACACAATATCCTACCCAACAAATGCCCAAACACTTCCTGGTGTCTACAGTAAGCTGGCCACGTTTGAAGATGCTAGGCTTGCTCTAATTCATTACTACAGTGATAGGAAACAAATAGCACCACAATAGCCCTTACACATATTAATTCAAAAATGAGTAACAAAGGACTGTTATACACAATTTTAAGGATGTTCAGTGATTTCAAGGCCACAAATATCAGATTCAAGACAAAAGAAGAATATGAATAGTCACAGATATGTATATATCTTAATCAAAAGCACTGTGGGATTAGATACTACTCTCATTTGTAAATTATAAGAAACACTTAAGAAAGAATAACATGCTTATAAACTCTCCTGCACAATATGGAACAAAGAAATTTAGTTCCCAGATTTGCTTGTGACATAGTTGTTGTATACAAGGCTTATAAAGACATTGTGCAGAGAAAAATATGCATACTGATATCTGAAAGAGATGTTGTGAGAAACTTATAAACTGCTTGGGAAGCAGCTGGCCCAGGACCATGCTGGGCCTTTCAGAGCAAGGCGGTGTTTCTTGGCTACCCATTTTTCTCTGCTGTAGATACACTGTCATTGAGACAGGCATTTGTGTATCCTTGCTGGGGGGTTAACACCTGCTCAGGGGGGCAGCTCCTCTTTTTACGATTGCTAATGACTATGCCCCTGCTTTCAGAATTCCACTTTCTCCTAGGAATAGCCAGATCTTGGCTTTTGTCACCATGTCAGTTCCAAAACTCCTGCTGGATAAGCTAACATCGAATGTTCCCTTGAAATTCAGACTTGCCATTTGTCATTGCTGCTCAGAAGAACATTCCACATTGCAAACTTAGCCAGTAGCTTGGGAATATGATCTGTCATTTCAGCCATTTTAAAAAAAAATGCAAATATATAGTTAAGGAAACAAAATCCGCATGAGAATGGATTTTTGTTTTGGTCCCTGGGGTTTTATTGTGGGCTACAGCTGGAATTGAGGAAGTTTCTCTCTTAGATATGTTAAAGCCTTGCCCTGGGATTTGAAAGGAAGGATCTGGAAGGTCTTGAGATTGCCTGTTGGGGAGAGGGTGATTTGGCGTCTCAGGTAATGGGCTGTTGAACTGGTAAGGAGAAGATGCCTGTCCCCCTTGGCCTGTCCACCGAAGACTTCACAGAGGGAGGGAGCTGATGGGCCTGCCTGTGAGATCCGTAGACAAGAGGAGGTGTGAATACAGGGCTGGAACTCCTATCGGAAGCACCGACCCACATTAGTGCCTGGCAGGGCACAACTGGCCCCACTGAGCCTGCCTTCCTTGACTGGAAAACAGGTGTAACTCAAAGTTACACCTTGCAATGTTTCACCAGGCTGGTGGCAGACTCTGCACAGAGAAAAGGTGGGCCAGGGCCCCAAGCAGAATCCTGAGGCCAGCTAGTGCCAGTTAAGATACAGATGCGAAATGGTCAGTCGGTCAATTAGCTCATCGCCTACTGTCTTGATGTTGGACTGATGGGCAAACACAAATGCCCTAGCCAGTTGATTTCCCCGAGTGAGCAAGGGCATCTGGGGAGTAATGGATGTGCTGGCTGGTCAGGGAGCCAAGGGAAAGCCCCCTGGCCTGGGAGCCTGCCCGCTGCATGCCTCCTGCCCTCGTCCCTTCTTCCTTCCTCCCATCTCTCACTTGGATGCTTCTTGACTGTGTGACATTGAGTAAGTTATTTACTGTGGACTGACATCGTTTCCTTGTTCCTTAATTCGGGTAGTGTCTAGTCAGGTCTTGGTCATAAATAAGGTGTGGGGCACAGGTGGTCCACAGTAGGTGGCAGTGCCCCTCCCCCCCCCCCCCCCCCGCCTCTATCTCCTCCTGTCTTTCACTCACCTCTACACAGCCTTGGGGCCCAAGTCCAACACACACAGGCCATGGGGGAATCCAGACTGGAGGCAATGAACTACACGGCAGCCTTGTAATGTGGAAAACATGATGAAAGGGCACTATTTGCTCAAACCAAGAGTTGAGGATACAATGCATATTGAAGATGGAGGTGCTGAGATGTAGACAAAGAGGGTTCTGATACACGCGGAAGCCACGTGTCCCCAGCTCAGGCCTGGAGCCAGGGGTCAGTGTAAAGCTTAGGTCAAGACTTGGAAGACTCATAAAGATTTAATTTGGAGAGAGGGAGAAAAAGAAGGAGGGAAGGATGGGAAGGAAGGAAGGATGGGAAGGAAGGAAGGAAGGAAGGAGGGAAGGAGGGAAGGAAAGGAAAGGAAGGAGGGAAGGAAGGAAGGAAGGAAGGAGGGAAGGAAGGAAGGAAGGAAGGAAGCAAGGAAGGAAGGGAAAAGAAAAAAAGATTCCCTTAGCTCTTGTATATATGTCACAGGGCTTAAAATAACAGAGGACCAATCCTGTTTCTGATGCCATTTTATCTGGGGAAAGTGCTATACTCCTTGGCAGACCGTGTGTTCCCTGTGGCTCTTATTCTTGGCTCTACACCAAGGCTGCCGAACAGTGGCTCCTATGGGCGACTCCAGGGACGTGGTGTTCCCTTGCTCCGTGTCTTAGGATGCCTTGCTGTTCCTGTGTTTTGGGATGAGCTGCTATTCTCTTGCCTGAATGGTGGGTGATATTTCTCTTTTCAGTTCCTCCCAAGTTTGTGGTTCAACCCCGGGACCAGGATGGGATTTATGGCAAGGCCGTCATCCTCAACTGCTCGGCTGAGGGCTATCCAGTGCCCACCATTGTGTGGAAATTCTCGAAAGGTAAGAAGTTCTTTGATTGGCTGGTCTTCGGGACACACCTTGTGCTAGGAAGGACTCTTGGCCTGGTGGGGAGTTGATTCCCAGAGCAGAGCAGACACCCCTAGTGGCCCACTCGGGAATTTAATGGAGATTGAGTGATCGCCAGTCCTTGGAAGGAGCAGGAAGGAGTCAGGCAGGTCATTCAAGTTATTCAGGTTGGTTACTTCAGTATTTGGGGGAGGTGCAGGGGGATGGGGGACTACTCTTCCTGCACCTGTGATCTGCTCTGGGAACCCACGTGACCCTTAAATGAAGAGATAGAAGTGCAATTGTCAGGATGATCTGCGGAGGGAAAGCTGTTTGCTCAGTATTTAAATGCAAGTCACCACATGGAACACGAAATCACTGGGTTTTATTTACCCAAAACTTAGAGTATACGCATTACATCTCACTACCACCGGAGCGGCTCCCTTTCACACACATCTCCCCTTCACACACAAGGATGCCTTCCCCTCTGTTCAGAAAATGCTGAAATTGCATTTGGAAATTGCATGTACGCTGTGGAAACGAATGGCAGTATCAGTTTAGGCACTGAAGAAATAATTTGCATTCATCAGGCCATCCTCTTTAGAGAGATGCTGCAGTGTCACTTGGACACATACTGGAAATCCTTGTTCTTTTCTCATTCACAAATCCCAGTACAGTAATTCATTCATTAAAGAGCCGAGGGGAAAATACATGTTGGTGACATCAGCCAATCCATCCATCCAAGTCTTCATTCCAACAATGTTACATCTGTATATTTTTGTATCCTTAATGGATTTGCATTCTAGATGTTTCTTTCTTCCCATAACTTGTTGCATTTTTTATGTGAAAACAACAACCATAAAAGGGAAAATATATGCCTGACTACTTTCCCTGAGCCCTTTGCTACATACTATTTGAGAAGTTGGAGAGAGAAGAAAAGGGTACTCCAAATGGATTGGGAAAGCTATTAAAAAAATCCATCCTACAAACTCCCCTGGGACACAGGACATTCGTGTTTGTTGTTATCACAGGATAACCATTTGGTTGGCCAGAATTGGGGGTACATGCCACTAACCCCAGCTACATAGGAAGTAGAGGTAGAAGGATTACAGCCCAAGGCTGGGCAAAATGAGACTATATAAAGAATAACTAAAAAAGAGAGGGCTGGAGGTATGGCTCAAGTGGGAGAGTACCTGCCTACCAAACACCAGGTCCTGAGTTCAAACCCAAACATGCACAATAATAATAATAATAAATGAGATCAGTTAAAAATAAGCGCTTTGTTCAAAAACAGGAGTGCATCCTTCCTAGTTTCTTACCCCTGTGACTTTTTATTTGAGGCTGTATTTGGAGCCCCACATAGAAGTATTATAACATGAAAATGATGCAGGTGAATTAAACAGTAAATTTAATTCAGTCTATATCCAGGGCGTATTTGACATTATGGACACATCCTGTGACACTCATTTTCAGGGTTATTTTCAGTGTTGTCCTCGATCCCTTGGTGGCTGCTCTCCCCTCCCCTGCCCTGCTCCTCCCCCCTCCTCCCTGGCTCCTCTTTCCCCCACCCTGCCCCTCCCCTGCTCCTCTTCTTCTCCCTCCCACCACACTCCTGGGGTTTGGCTGACATGAACCCACTGCCATGATCATCTCATGCACGAGGTCACTGCGTGTGTGTGACTGCCTCGTGAGGCCGATTCCTGGAGCCTCCTCGCCTGGCCTGCTTGCCTGTGCTCTGTCTGGGCCCAGCAGGGTGAGAGTTCAGAGGCAAAGCAGCGGCCACATCCAGGCTGACACAACTACCACTTGCTCTGTGCAGACGCTGTCGTGATGGAGATTGCCGGCCTCCGGCCCAGCTCTCCAGCCTGAAACCAGGCAGCTGTCTCAGGGCGCTGCTTCTGGCTTCTTCTCTGGGCACAGAACTCATCAGAACACCCCCACCAAGCAAAGCTTTCATTTCTGAACAGCTAAATCTTAGCAGGTGCCACTGCTGTTGCTCCTCCTCCTCGCCTTCCTCCCATCTTCTCCGCCATGTTTGTATCTGCCCACTGCCCACCATGGAATATGCTCAGAGCAGGAAATCCTTCCTGAAGTAGACAAGCCAGCCTCCTTGTTTAAGAAATCCCTGCTGTCTCCTTGAGGATGACAAGGGATGGCGACTCTAACCCCTTGGTGAGGAGAACGAAGCGTGCATGGCCTTCCTGTGTGCCTGTGAAGCACAGAGGGAGATTGTCCACCCCCCCCCCCCCACACACACACACATCATTTGGTTCTTGTTCGGTGCTCTCTCCCTCTCCCTCCCAGCAGGGAGGCCGGGAGCTCCCTGGCCAGCTTCCTCTGGTCCTGTGTGCAGGCATTTCTATTTTCAGTCACACCATCTCTGGAGGCACACAAGGTCTTAGACATAAATGCACTGTCCTCTTTTCATATAGAACGAAGTTATGGCTGTAGTGAGAATGCCTCACATGCCGAGCATATTAGACACCGAGCATGCTCTCGCGTGACTCTTGGCCAAGGGCTTGCTCGATAGGCCAGCAAAAATTGATCCCTGTAAAAACAAACACACAAAAACCCCAGCTGAAGCAATTATCTTATTTGTTGCTCCCTTCAAGATGGGCTTCCCTGCGTGTTTTCTCTACCTCCCGGTCCCTGGACCCCAGCGCGAGCTGTCTTTACCACAGAGCAGATGCGTCCCTTGTACATACGCCTATTGACAGAAGCAGCCGTTCTGGGTGCGCCTTCCTAGTGATTTCACATGTTACCTCCACGCATGGAGCTCTACCACTGTCCCCTCCCCACCCCAGCCAGCTACAGCCAACCCACAGCTCTGTAACTGGTGACACTGGCCCTGCATTCGCTCTCCCAGCTGATTACCCAAAGTGCTCACCCGATGCTGAGAAGGTTACAGGATTTGCATATTGTTTCCCCCTTTATAGTAACAATGAATCTAAAGTAACCGATGGATAGTTCTACTCAACTGTAGTGAGGTCTACTTCCTTCTTATTCAAATGACTGCTAACCCCCAAAGCCAGTCCTCACAGTGGCTAGACAGTTTGTTATTCTGGTTAGCAAGAATGATCACACCTTTAGATGCTCTACCTCTTAACGCAGACTCATTTTGGCTGAGGTAAAGCTGGATTTGATGTTTTCCAATGCATTCACACATCATTCTGTCTTCATTAGGTCATTTCAATAACTTATAACAGATAAACTTAACGGCCATCCTTCTCCACTATTTGTTAGAGCATCTGAAGGTGGCAAATGTTTCAGCTACAATGTGTGTTTCAAAGAACCAGCAGGTCCCCCACATAATTCTAGGTCCTTAGGAGGCTGAGGTCAGGAGGTCATGGTTTGAGGCCAGCCTACGCAGACATGTGAGACCCTTTCTCAACCCACAGCTGAGTGTGTTGTGCATGCCTAGTTGTGCAGGAGGCTGAGATCAGGAGGGAACCCCACCCCATGGGCAGAGCGGAGCATGGTGACCCTGCCTGGCATCCAGCCAATGTGACTGCAGGCGAGATTTAGTTTCTCTCAGACTGTTGCTTGTAAGTGGTCTCAGATTGCTTTTGTTGGAAGATCTCCAAGGGCAGTTCATCCATAGCACTGCCTTTCACCCCAGGAAACGAAATGCATGGGAACAGGTGAGTGAGGAGAAGAGAGAGGAACAGGAAGAAGGGGGAAGAGAACTCACCATCATTGGTAATCATCGCTACTGGCCAGTTTGCCCCCTGGAGCTCCTCAGTGATTAGAAAGCAAAGGAATTCCTTTGTGAAAAAGAGACTATTTCTATAGGAGTTTAGAAAACATTAGGAAAGGTCTCCCTAAACAGTGAGACTGAAATCTTGGAAAGGAAAAAATATGGCATTTCCTTTTCTTTATTATTTGGATTTTAGACAAAAAAGTTCACAGAATCCTTATGATTCAAATCCCAGTATGTAACTTAGTGGACAACTTCCATTAATCAGTCAATCCCATTAATTATTTTTCAACATCATTCACCTACTTATCTGCTCGTTCATCATCAAGCACGTGAGATCATTTGTGAACTCTCAGATGCATTGTTTGAAATGATATACTTTTATCAATGTTTCCAGTATGGCTTTGTATCTTACACATTTGGTTAATTTTGTTGTTTCCACATCATGAGCAGGGTTCATTTGGTCCCATTCAGAAGCTGTACTGAAAGAGTCAACACATTGCAAGGAGGATAAAATATCTTCTGATGTTTTCCATTTTTGTCTCATTTTGAACTTCTTCTGAATAAAATGAGGGTTGAAAGAAGGCATCTACTTAGAATGGCTTTGCAGTGTTTTCCTATTGTCCTATTAATGTAACCCAGAACTCATCCACGTAAGTCTCGCTAGTACGCCCTTACCCTCCCACGTTCCACAGATCTCACCCTGCTCCTCCTCTTAGCATGCATACACACCAGACACCAGCCAACCTCCAGTGATTCATCTTTGAATTATGAGTTACTTGGAATGTGTTAAGTTGTTACATGTTTGGAGCTTTTCCAGGTAGATTTCTATTCTTGATTTTAATTATTATGTCATTGAAACAACACATATTTTGTCTTCCTTTCATCTCACAATGTTTCCTAGAATTGGTATTGTAGTTCACAGGAGTGTTTCTGTTTAGAACTGTCTCATTCTATTCAGTTGCTATGAGAAATTGCTGTAGACAACCACCGCACAATGATTCCACACAGTGCTGGGGCCTCGGAGACTGAGGCTGAGGTGCCTGCGTGCTGGCTGTGGGCAAAGCATGTCTCTGGGTTCCATGCTGCTGATTTCTTGCCATGTCTTTATGTGTGATAGAGTGGGACTCAGAGTTGTTTGGAACAACTTCCACAGGGCACTTAGGGAGGGCTTACCCTCCCAAAGGACACACTTTCAAGTCCCGTTGAACATCTTGGCATATAAATTTAGGAGTACGCAGACATTTTGCAATGATTGGTTGAGGGTAAATTGAAATTAATATATGGTCTATTGTGG